GGCAAATGTAGGTAGATCTCTGTGAGTTCAAGGCCAGCCTGATCTACATAGAGGATTCCAGGAGAGCCAAGACTATACGAGAAAACACTGTCTCAAGAAAAGAAAAACCTGTAAGCAACAAGCAGAGGCACCACCACCACCACCACCCCCCCGCCCCAAAAAAGAGGTTATGTATATAGGAACCTGAAAGACCATAGAGTAGAACTGTGCAAATGCTTTGGAGTTTATATCATACTACTATATATCCCAAACAACCCAGGTGCCATTAGCTAATCACAGAAGTCTGGAGGTCTGTACAGACAGACAGGAAATGAGCTACTTGGGAGGAAACAGCATTACCAGGGAGAAACTCTAGTCTGCTGATATGCTAAGAAAGTAAGGTGTGTCATACATGCTTGCTTCTTTCCTCTGATTTCTCAGCATTTCCCTTTATATCTGACTCCGGATTTTTATTACCTAGACCAATTAAGAACTCCATTTACACACTAAGAAGCTAATTTTAAAGTAGTTGCAAAACTTGAATATTTCCCCAAGGAAGAGATACAAATGGCCAATAAGCACATAAAAGGATGTTAATATCACTAAAAAATTGGGAAATACAAATGAAAAAAATCTAAAGTACAGGGGGTAGTAAGTATATAGAAAAACTGGAATTCTTTTTGTGTCAGTTTTGTTTTTTGTTTTTTTTCGAGACAGAATTTATCTGTGTGACAGCCCTGGCTGTCCTAGAACTCACTCTTGCAGACCAGGCTGGCCTTGAACTCAGAAATCTGCCTATCTCTGCCTCCTGAGTGCTGAGATTAAAGGCATGCACCACCACCACCCAGGTTGGAATTCTTATGCCATTAGTAAAATGATGATTCCAGTATTGAAAACAATATAGCATATATACATACATATATACATAACATAACAACAATTAAAGAAGAAGAGTCCATAAATTTGAAAGAAATTGGAGGTAATACATGGGAGGACTTGGAGAAAGAGAAGAGGGAAATATAACTACAAAAAAAATTACATAAAATTTTAAAAAGAAAACAATAAGGGGTTATTCGAAAATAAAAAACATAATTATCACATATTTTAGTAATTTCACTTCTGGTTATCAACCCAAAAGAATTTAAAATTGGAACTCAGAAATTTATTTTGTACACTAGTGTTCATAACAAGATTATTCATAATAGCTCAAAGTTGAACATAACCAAACATCTACTAATTGATAAATAAATAAATAAATGTGGCATATACATACAAAATAACATTATCCTGCCACATATCCTTTAGGATATGTGAAGTCTAATACATCATAAAACAATATGGATAAATGATGTGGAATATTATTTTAACTATGTAAAGATGTTCCATTTATTTATGCTGCTGAATATTACTTTAACTGTGCAAAGGTATGTCCCATTTATTTATGCTGCCTTTGTTAACAATGTAAACATGTATTACATTTGTTTATGGTACATTTGTTTAATTTTTGTAAAGATGGGTTGCATTTGTTTTGCTTTGCCTGCCTAAGGCACCTAATTGGTCTAATAAAGAGCTCAACAGCCAATAGCTAGGCAGAAGATGGATAGGTGTGGCTGATGCGCAGAGAGAATAAGTAGGAGGAGAAATGGGGGGTGGGGGGAGAGAATGACGGAGAAAGAGAGGGACAAGCCTGGGACCAGAAACCACCAGCCAACCAGACACGAGAAGCAATAAAGTAAGACATATAGAAAAAAAAAGGTAAAAAGCCCTGAGGCAAAATGAAAATAAAGAGAAACAGATTAAAATAAGAGCTAAGATAAGGCCAAGCATTCATAACTAATAATTCTCTGTGTCATGACTTGGGAGCTGGCTGGTGGCCTAAAAGAAAGTCTGCTACAGATAAATCTGAGGAACATTATGCTATGTGAAATGTCAATCACAAAAGTACAAATACTATGATTCCACTAATAGGGTTATCTATAAGGGTAAAATTCATAGACACAAAAAGAACTTATTACAAAACTATAGTAATCCAAACTCTGGAACTGAGATTATGGCATATAGACCAATAGAATACCCCATATGTCCTCATTCATATGTATGTATGTATGTATGTATGTATGTATGTATGTATCCATTCTGTTCCATCTGTACACTGACAGATCCTAGAATATATGGAAAGGTACTGTTAATATAGTCTGAATTTCAGTTCTAAATAAGATGAGTGTTGTATACGGATGCTGATATTACACACTGAGGTGATTGTAATCTATACTACCAAATTGCATACTTGAAAGTACTGAAAGTAAATGACACCTATTTTCTGTTACAAAGTCAAAAAACAAAAAGAGAGCCATGCCCTAGAGAGATGGTTTAGTGGGAAAAAGCAATCGCCAAATAGTTTGAGAACATGAATTCAAATAATAAGAACCCACGTGAAAGCCAGATCTATATATAGTTCAAGCATCTGTAATCCTGACACCACTACTGAGAGATGGGAAGACAAAAAAGAAGACTTTCTAGGAGCTTGCAGGCTACGTAGTCTGACATAGGTAGTAGAAGAATGACAGAAACCTGTCTCAAAGAAGGTAGACAATGAAGACTGATACCAGAGGCTGGCTACTGACCCCCACAGCCAGACAGTTTAACACATACATTGCATGCACAAGTGAGCATATGCTTACACACACACACACACACACACACACACACACACACAAAGGAGAGCCAAACATGGTAGTAGGCGCCAGTAATTCCAGAACTAAAGAGGCAGAGGCAGCACAATTTAAGAGCTTGAGGATCAGCTGAGCTACATGGTGTACTATAGGACACCAGGAGCTATGCAGAAAAACCTGGTATCATTTAGACATGTGTGCATGCACATAGTCAAAAAACATATTTAAAATGGAAACTGTAAGAAAAAAAGTCTGTACAGTATATATTATATTTGACCATGAATATTGAATTATTTCCACCTTAAGGTTAAAAACAACACAAAAATAGCATTGCCATCTCTTCTACCTACTGGAACTCTTAGCCAGTACAGTAAGAAAAATAAACAAACACCATAAACATCAAAAAAGAAAATATATAGCTGTCTTTATTCATAGTTGTGTGCACAAAAGTCCCAACAGATTTATTTTTTAAGTAACTAGCAGAACTAGTAAACAAATTCAATACAAACTCAATACACCAAATCAATTGCATTTCTTTACACTAGCAACAAACAATCTGGCAAATAAACTTTAAAACCAGTATGAGTCATAATAGCATTAAAAGGCAAAATAGAAATAATTTTAAAGAAAAAATGGATGTTAACATTAATCCATTTAAAACATCAATGAGAAAAAAGTGATGACACTGCTTTAAGTGGAAAGACAAACTAAATGCAAGGGCTAGAAGCCCTGCTGCCATTATAAAAATGACAATATGAGCCAGGGACAGAATGCAGTGATAGAGCACTCTGCCTCCCAGATGCCAGAGCCTGAGTTTACCCAGCACTGAAAAGAAGAAAGACAATTATTCTGATGGAATTAGGAAATAAAATTTAAAAAAAAATCAGTAATTTTCTTAGGAATTGTTTTTGAAAGGAAAAAACAAAACACTAAGCTAAAATAAATTTGGACAGGAAGGATGGAGGTGGCTTATGAACATCCCCCAGTTTCAAAGGCACAAAGTTCAGACATCGAGCCTTTGGTGACATTAGGAAGGGTTAATGAAAGAGAATACAAGAACCAACAGGTTCACATATTTTTTAAATATTTGAAAACCTTCAAACTATTTACTGAGAAAAAGACTTTGACAAAACTTGAACAAACAAATTTTCATATGAAAAAGAGTTGCATGCCTACTTTGTAAAATATGCCAAAATTGTGGACCTGAAGATAGAATTTGGTTAGACTAAGATTTCTTAGTGAAGATATAAGAGTAACAAAAGATTTCAAAACTTACACTTCATAAAAATTACAAGTTGTAATCATCATAATAGGTCTTAGAAAATGAAAAGGAAAACCACAGACCAGGAGAAAACATTCATACCACATTTATGATATGACATATCCAGAATATAAAAATACCAACAATGCAAAAAGTAGACAAAGAACTTAATGTTTTTAATAGTCAAGACTTGAACCATTTAAAAAGAAGATATATGAATAGCCAGTAAGTGTATAATATAATTACCAACATAACTGGCCATTGGGGAAATGCCAGTTAAAAACATGCCATTACAATGCTCACTAGAGTTACAAAAATTAAAACTCTGACAATATCAATTATTTGCAAACATATGAAACAGGAATTCATATGCTACTACAACTATAAAATGTAAAAACACTTTGGAAAACTGCCAACTTTTACAAAGTTTTAATGTGTATATACCATATAAGCCACCAATTCCTAGTATACTTTAAAGAATCAATATACATGTATGTACAAATTTTTGCGAAAGAAGTCTTACAGATGCTTTATTTACAATAAACTAGAAACAGCCCAAGTGTCCACAGATGAATTAATTACCTGTGATACTGTCAGCAGACTACTACTCAGTAATAAAAAGAAATGAACACTTGCATCATGGATTACTATAAAATACTGGGCTGAAATTCATGCACAAAAGAACATATATTGTGTGAAGCTATGCATATGAGATTTTAGAACAAGAAATAAGAAGTTACTAGGTTTTAGGGATAGAATAGTAGATCAAAAGGGAAAAAGCAGAGGGAATTTTGAAGAGGAACAATGGTTAACATTCCTGTTAAAACTTCTTTGATTCACATTTTCAGACAGGAGCATTTTCTTGTATTTATTATATTTATTATATTTAATATTTATTATATACACAGGGTTCTGCCTGCATGTACACTTGCATGATAGAAGAGAGCTACCATGTGGTTGCTGGGGCCTTTGGAAGAGCAGCCAGTGCTCTTAATCACTGAACCATCTCTCCAGCCCTCATACTTCAATTTTAAAAAGATACAAAAAACAAGGACTTTGGGGTCACAAAGAGCAGCTCCACCACTTACCAGGTGTGTGACCTTGGCCAAGTGTTAAACTGTCAGTCTCCCCATCTGCAAAACAGAAAACTAGAGTTGAGAATAACTTCATAGACCTGCTAGGAAAAGTAAACAAGATAATACTTTAATGACTTAATTCAGTAAATGCACAATAAATACTAACAAAGTTAGAAATTTTATTCCCATACTTCAACCACAGAAAAAGATGCAAAAATGACTAGTGGGTAGATGGTGAGTAATTCACATATACTATATTACTTATTTGGTTACAATGACACTTAGCATGGGTTATTACAGTTGGTTCTCTTCCTCCACCATGGGGATTACAGGTACTATACTCAGATGGCCAGGCTGGGCAGGAAGCTACTTTACCTAGCTGAACCATCTCACTTGTGTCCCTTCCACAGAGCAATTTTAAGATAAGAAAATTCTGGTTTGGCACAGTGACTGACACATGTAATTCTAGTACTTAAGAAGCTAAGACATAAACTCTTGAGTTAAAGCCATCCTTGACAACACAGGTATCCAGACCATTCCTTTCTCAAAAATAAAATAAAACAAAATAAATACATGAAAACTGGGGGAAAAGAGGGATAAACATGAAGGCATATAATCTGAATATGAAACCTGTACTCTAAGTGGGAAGCTGGAGCTATGATAGGCTTGCATTGTCAACATAGTTTTGAAAACATGTCAGATGAAAAGGCAGACAAATTTTCTTTCAATCATATTTCACTTGTCTTAATCATGCAAGACTCTTACTTTAAAAAGCTAAAATTGTGAGGTGAGTGTGGAACTGCACTCCTTTAAACCGAGGAGGAAGATGAGCAGATCACTTTGAGTTAGAGGCCAGAATGATCTTTAAAGTGAAAAACCAAACAAAAAAAAGTGAAAGACCAAAGCAAGAGGAGAAAATTCTCATGCACTCTGATACCAAGGTACTGAATTCAAACAACCTTTTTCAGTTTTTGTTTTTTTGTTGTTTTTGTTTTGTTTTTAATATGAGGATCAGAGAGATGGCTCAGTGAGTAAAAGCATGTGACACATACGCTTGATGTTAGAGAATGACCCCTGGGACCCATCTCAAGCCAGAAGGAAAGAATTGACTCCACAGAGTTGTCCTCTGACCATCACAGACTTGCTTTGACAGATCTCCCACAACCCCTTTCACATCAACACACACACACACACACACACACACACACACACACACACACACACACACACAGAGAGAGAGAGAGAGAGAGAGCTCAAACTGTCACAATACTGCTCCCACAGAAAAAAATAACTGCTCTAATCTAACCTCAGATTTTTTTAACATTCCTTCTTAGTCATCCATTACAATCCCCAGACTTAAAAGTTTTAGTACTCCCTGTGCCCACGAATGACAGACATCTACAATTATCCAAGAACTGAGCAACTGCCTTTGACTTCAACTATTTTCACCAATTGTAAACAAGTGCTAAACTCTTGACTCCACAGAGAATGCCTACAAGTCAGTATAAACTCTGAAACAGGGGCAGGTCAAGGGAATGGGAGTCCAATCTATGCTCTCAATCAAATCCCACCCCAACCTTGTTCAAAAGAATCCTTATCAGAAAGCACTTTCCAGAAATGATGCAGCATATTGAGCTGGAGCTTTAGAGGCACAGGGGAAATGCTAATGTCATGAACCACCTAATGGAGGAGACAGTACGGGAAAATGGGGAGACTTGTAAATGTATAATTTGCTCAGGAAAGAACCTGTCTCATAAACCATACAATAGTCCTGAACCTGAGCTACCAAAGAAATCTCTTTGAAACCTAATTCCACAGTGAATTCTTCCAGTCTGTGTGCAAAATCATCCCATAATGTAAAAGATACTGAAATGACACTTAAAATGGCCTTATTCTTTCACACATAACCCATTATGAGGCCATACCATCTCTGAGGAGGGAAAAGGGAGTTGGGTGAGGGGAAGGAGAACTGGGAGATGTAAAACTAAAAAATAAAATAGTTAAAAAAAAAAAGCATAGCCAGGCCAGGTGTTGTGGCACACATCTTTAATCCCAGCACTAGGGAGGTAGGGAGGCAGAGGCAGATCGATCTCTGTGAATTTGAAGGCAGCCTGGTCTATAGAGTGAGTTCCAGAACCATCAAGAATGCACAGAGAAACGCTGTCTGAAAAACAAAACAAAACAAACAAAAACAACAAACAGACAAAGTGTAGGGGCACAAGCCTTTATTTAATCCCAGTACTTGGAAGGTAGAAGCATATCACTGAGTTCAAGGCCAGCCTAGTCTACAGAATGCCAGCTCTGAGCCAGTCAGAATCACAGAGGCCATGTCTGTAATAATGATGATGATCATGATGATGGAGATGGTCACAGAAACTGAAACAAGGACCTCGCATATACTAGTTAAATGCTCTGTGTCACTGAGCTTCTTCCTCAGCTTCGCCATTAACATCTGAGACTATCAAAATTAAGACTACAGGCAGATCAGTAAAATAAGGGCTCTCCAGCCATACTCTATGACATACATTGAGGTAAGTCATTTCATGTTTTCAAACAGACCTTACAGTTCTCATGGAATGTATAGTCTTTATACATGCTTCCAAAAAAAAAAAAAAATCAATGTAAAGCATTTTATATGTCAGCTATCACTATGTGGTAAAAAAAAAAATCATATAAATTTATGTCTACTTTTCCTCTAAACCAGAAACCTTTAACAGGACTATGGCATTTATACTGTGGCTAAGGCTTGACATATACAAGAAAAGGAAAAAAAGTACTGTGTTGTCAGGACCCATGAAAAGGAGTCCATTTCATTTTGACTAAATGTCAGAGAGTTCAAAACTGTCCTGGAAGATTAAGGGAAGTAAGTCTCTTTGCCCCTTATACATGGTAATAGAAGTCTCCTGCCTTTTTTTTTTTTTTTTGCCCCCACTGTTGGTTGAATACTTAAGATTGTGAAAGAATAAACTAGGGGCATTTAGTATGGATTGAATTGGCCCTCCTGACAACTATCCTGTGTCTTTCTCTGTCTTGGATTTTTAACCTCTTTAGCTAGCCTTTCTTTTGTGCCCCTCTCAGGTATTAACTCTGGGCTGGTCGGCTGCCTCTGACTGCAGCCCCCAAAAGACAGCTTCCCACACTGTGTTAAATAGGTCAGATCCTACAAAAATCAAACTCATCAAATCATCTTCTATGACACACTCCACATACAACTGCTGAATATATGCAGTGTCTGGCACATAAGAAACACCCAATAAATTATATTTCTCAGAATGGGACAATGTCTAAATCAATAAACTTCTTGCCACCCAAACATAAGAATCTTAGCTCAGATCCCCAGACCGGCACTTATAATCCCACTGATCCTACAGAGATGGGAAGTGGAGACAAGAATTCTCCAAAAGTCTCAAGAAGAAGAGACCTTGTGTCTCAAGGTGAAAGAGGAAGCCCAATGTTGTCCCCTGACCTCCACGTATGTCTACACACAGAATGAGATAAAAATTAATGTTTCCAGATTTTGTTGTTGTTGTTGTTTTGTTTTTCAAGACAGGGTTTATCTGTGTAACAGCTCTGGCCACGAACTCACGAAGATCTGCCTACCTCTGCTTCCCGATAGCTGGGATTACAGATATGAGCCACTATCACCCAGCTATCTTTTCTTCCTTGATATCTACTATTCAACTTTAAACTGATTCTCTGCTCTGTTTGTGGGTGTTTTGTCTGCATGTATATCTGCGCACCATATGCACACACTATATGCAGAGACGAGAAGAAGGCATCAGATCCCCATTAACTGGAGTTACAGACCTGCCTGGTGAATGCATGGAATTGAACCTGGGTCCCGTAAAAGAGCATTAACCACTGATATAACTGTACTATACTTTCTAATATCAAAAGTTATGACATATTGTCAGGTGTGGTGGTGTACACCAGGACTTGAGAGGCAGAGGCAGGTGCCTCTCTGGGTTAAAGGTTAGCCTGGTCTGTAGTGAAAGTTCCAGGATAGTCAGGGCTACACAGAGAAGTCCTGTCTTAAAAAACAAAAAAAAAGTGAGGTGAAGGTTAATCTACTGAATAAAATATACAGTTGTAACATCCCATTAAATATATACAGAGAATTTCAACAATACACTAATAGCCTAAAGTAGCATACACTTATTAGTGTTTACCATTTGTTAAGCATTATTCTAAACCCATTACATATATTACTGCAACTAATCCTCATAACAGGCCTAATAAAAATAAAAATCATACTTTTACTATTCAAATATTCACATGAGAAAACTAATACACAGAGATTATATTTAAAAAAAAAAAAAAAAAACTAGCCATCTCTTCAGCCCCTGATCATACCATTTTTTTTTAAATTGAGAAGATTTTGCTTATATAAAAAACTAAAGCATTCATTTGAAATTAGACTTATGAACTATGAACATGTCCACTGTGGCATTGTGTATAATGTAGGATAAAGTATCCTCAGGAATAAGAGAATGGCTAAATAGACCACACCAAAGATTTTCTTTTCCACTACACAAGGAAGTTGCCATCCTGCTGTTAAAATGTTCATTAAAACAAATGTCCCAAGACTTGTAGACAATTCTCTGCATGTATAAAAGAAAATGAGATACAAAAATACATAGATGTTATGATTATTAATAACATAAGAGATTGAACACAAACCTAGAATAATTATTCTTGAATGATATTTACTTCTTAGTGGTAAGATAAGAGATTCTTGTGTTTTCGTTTTAATATTTTAAAGAAAAACAATAATTTCTACTACCAGCTGAAACAAAGTCATTGTCTTTCTCTTAATTCAACTATACCAGCAACTTCAACCATTTGGAAAGAAAAAAAATGCTAAAAAGATTCTAATCCAGCTGCCTGTAAGCGGCCTCTTTCCTTTGGCTAGTATCCTTTGGACATCATACAAAAAAGTAAGTATATACCAAAAAAATCTTCAACTTTGGAAACTGAATGAAAGTATTTTCAATTTTTGTTGATGTTTTCTCTATGTCTATTTTAGGATCATAAGAGAAATAGACTTCATATAGGCCAAAAATTCAGGAATATCGTTGCAAAAATAGACAAGAGACAAAGTTGAACTCCAGAGGAAGAACAGCTGTTGCTAATCCAACCATTTACCCTTTGACCCTCTATCTGCCCCATAACTGAACAGTACCAATTGTTTCCCTGTCTTATGGAGTGTTTACAATCCCAGAAAGGCATGAAAGGAATTAATAATTTAGCCTTGAAAGCTGACAGCCTTTATTGGGAACCTCTTGTCTACAGGAAAGTGCTGTCTTGAAATCACAGGTCCCCTTACTGTTTTATAGCTTAATTGACCCCCAAACATAAATCACTTATTTCTCCTATTTTAGGCAACAATGACTTCTATTCTCTAATTTCCCTTGTATCAAGTCAGCCATTGTTCTTTTGAGTTTTACAACTACATGGTAAACACAGTAGCTGAGGGAAAACTCCCTGAGCAAGGTAGATTGGGGTTATTTGAAAACAGCACAGAAATGTTAACAATGTTTTGAACTTTTCTTGACCTCTGACTGCCCTTGTACCCAGGCTTATGCTAAGGGCACAGTACAGGGCACTTCTTGTAGAAATGAACTTAGCCTGAACCTGGGCTATAACATTGGGCTCTAGGAAGCCCAGAATTGTAGGAAAAAGTCAGAATGTGAACAGCAGCTCATATCTGAAGCATGGCTGTCCATCCGCAAAAAAGGTAACTAAAAGAATACCTGGTAGATAAAGGAAGTCTTACCCTAACTAGTTCCAACACATTCCACCTGTTATCCCAAATCTGCTACTACCTAGCACAACTAGAAATCAGCTGCAAAGGTGGGGGCCTGTCACAATAAAATAGGATCAGGAATTTGTAGTGGAAGACATCAGGGATCTCTAAATTCCAAAGACACAATAAAGAGAAAGCTCTATTAATGTCTCAATCTAATGTGTGAAAATACTAACAAGGGAAATATACCTTCCAGTCAGAATTCCCAGAAATTGCAGTATCAAAAATAATAATCAGGGGTCTGTCCAGATGGTTCAGATGCTTCCTACTCTTTTTTCCAGACAGTGTTTCTTGAAACAGTCCTGGTTGTCGTGGGACTCACTTCATAGACCAGCCTGGCCACACACAAATCTGCCTGCCTCTGCCTCCCAAGAGATTAAAGGGGTGTGCCACCAAAGCCTGGCATGTTAAAAGAAAAGTCATTTTTTGTGACTTCCATCCTATAGTGACATATAAATTCATGTTTACTATCATGGAATAGTAAACCACCACATTCAGTAAGGGAGCCCATACAAATATTTAAAGGAAGTTGAATTACTTAATCCAGAACATAGAATAACTGAATAACAATCTTTAAGAGAATATCAAGGCTTTTCTCAACAAATGGCTTGAGCTACTTTCAGTAAATACATAAAGAAGAATACAGAATTGGATGTTACCTGCTAAACTCAATTTTGAGTATATAGTTGCATATGTACAAAAATCCAACAATGTTTGCTGCTGGCTTCACTGGAGAACTGAACAAGGGGGTCTGTTTTTAACAAAATTTTCAGCAAACAACTATTAAATGGATAAATGTGGCCATCAAACAGTACTAGCAAATGAAAAAGAAAATGTTAAAGACAGAATATCATTCTTATAATTGTTAAAGAGATACAATCTGAGGGCCATTCAAATAAAAATATCAAAGATACATTAAAATTAAACTGGGCAGTGGTGGCCCACACCTTTAATCCCAGAGGCAGAGGCAAGCATATCTCTGTAAATTCAAGGCCAGCCTTGAACTTGGAGCAAGTTCGAGGACAGGCTCCAAAGCTACACAGAGAAACTGTGTCTCAAAACAAACAAACAAAACAAAACAAAGATATCTTAAATACTTATAAGTGAAGTCACACCCTTTTCTCACCAACAAACACTAGATAACATTTAGAACTTACTAGTGCCTGGATCAAGTTTTCCCAATTCATCCTGACAGAAACCTAAAAAGAAAACAGGGGGAGAAGAAGATTATTACTTTTCATTTTTTAATTAGTTCAAGCTGATTCTACATATTAAAAATCAAATATCATATAATGTGGGAGGATATATGACTCAGTTCTTGGACTACTGAGTTCAATTTCCAGTAATCTTCCCACATCCCAAATTAGACTCAAAAATTAGTTTGGGTTTAAATCCTATTTCTAACAATTACCCTCTCAGGGTTTCCATTTCATCACCTTAACATTGAAATGGAAATAAGTGTATATACCAGAGTTGTAACAGTAGTAAGAATTTAGTACATTCCTTAGCACATAGTAGGGGCTCAATAAACAACAGCACAATAAGTATAAATAAGAATGCCAATGTCCACTGGAATATAAACTCAGAGGAAAATTAACATTCATTTAATACTTTTTTTTAATGGTATCAATTATGTCCCAAAAGACAGCAAACAATCAAACAGGAATTTACAACAAATATCATATAAGGTGAATTTACTTAAGATTAACAAAGATTAGTGTTAGGAACTAGCAGCCAGCTGACCCCCGCCCCGACGATGGGCGGGACGCTCATGGCCGTGTCATCGCTACATCAGCTTTACCTGGCTCAAGCTTTACCTGGCTGCCAGAGGACTCAGTTACTCATGCACAAGACCACCTTTTAAAGCAAGTGCGCCAAGAGCGCCGCTCTCTCTGGTCTCTCTCTGGTTCCTCTCTCTGGTTTCTCTCTTGCCCCCTCTTGCTCTCTCTCTGCCCCCCCTTACTCTTCCTCTCTCTCTCTCTCTCCTGCTTTCAGTTGGCCACCAGCTATCCCCTCTTTCTCTCCCTTCTCTCAAAAAACTCCACGTGGGCAATGAGTCTCGTGTTTGTGTTTCTTAGGCATAAGTTGCATCAAAAGAACAACAATTAGAGAGCTGGAGATATAGCTCAGTTTTAAGAGTACTTGCTCAGCATAAATTATGTTCTCCATTTGATCCCTGGCATTATATAAACTGGACACAGTGGTATAGGCCTACAATCTCAACACTCAATAGGTACACAGGAGGACCAAATGTTCACAGCAAGTACAAGGTCAGCCTGAAATACGAGGAACCCAGTCTCCAAACAAAACAAGACCTTCAGAAAACTTTACCTACACACACACATGAAACCAAATTTTCCATTATTAAGTATGTGTAAGCTAACCCTAACCGAGACCTGAGAGAAAAGAATGCTAGGGCCCTCTCTCTGGTAAGATGAGACCACAAGGAAATACTTAGATTAATAGAAATGGATTAATATTTAAGACAAAGCCAGCAGATAAGAAACTAGTAATAAATAGGCCAACAGCTTAATATCAAATACAGTGTCTCTGTGTATTATTTGGGGCTGGCGAGGCTTTGGGGCCCAGGGGGGCTGGAGGAAAAACTACTCAAAATATAATGGCGCCCAATGTGGACTAAAGAACTTCCACTTAAAACTTAACAAAAGCTTAGGAAAGGGTTTTAGAAACAAAAGAACAGAGACAAGCAAGGCTTCTTGGTAGCAGTATTTTTCTAGGTTGGACTCTGTTTTGCTAGAGACAAGCAGAGATTTGCGCAGCTCCTTTAAGGGAGGTTTCCTGACTCAGCATAAGTGGAAAAAACATCAAGGCTTTTAAAGAGCTCTGCTAACAACTGAATGGTGTGTACGAGAGCTGACAATGGCAGTGACCACATCTCCAGGCTGGCAGCATGCTGCTGGATGGCAGCGTAGACCAAGGCAGTGAGCACAGTGAGATAGTTACCTATTAGTTAGGTTTTCAAGATGTATTTGAGATGGATAGGCATTCTTCAAACCTTTTAAAGACCTACAGAATATGGCATTTAAAATGGTTTAGGGTTTTTCTTAACAGTGTGGCACAACTGCTCCTGGCAACACCAACTTCATCAGAAAGGAAGATGGACATTGAAGAAATATGTTATGGAATTTGCTTTCAATATGGCAAGACTAGCAATTTGGGCAAGATTCTGCTCTTGTCTGGACTGTTTGACTTTATGCTATATAAATGCATGCAGGACCCACAGGACAGTGACTGCTGATACAAGATGGACATTGCTACAGGGTTCCTGCTTCATCGAAGAGTCTGCCAGACATTCTGCAGGACACAGAAACAAAATGAGTGACAAAACTGCCAATACTGGTGGATAGTTTCCTACTTTGCTGAGGAGTCTGCCAGACACACTATGGCCAATAGGCTGAAGATGGAACATTACAGAGGCACTTCAGGTGACTGACCAGGTAGTGAGTTGTCTCCGCCTTTTCTAGAGTTTATATATTATTCTTCTGTGGTCTTTGATAAAGCTGAAGACAGTTATGGTTATAGTTTTTCCTAGTTAGGATTAAAGTTACATATAGGACTTTACACTCACAAAGATATGATAGATAAAATATTTTCTTTAAATCTTGCTAAATGTTAATGGACCAAATATTGTTAACTATGGTTCTTATTTGATAACTGTTTTGTTACATATTTTGCTATGTTAAAGTTAAGACCCTTCTTTTCATTTAGACAGAAAAGAGGAGATGATGGGAGATGTCGTTCTGTAAATATGTTTCTCTTATTGGTTAATGAATAAAGCACTGTTGGCCAATAGAAAAGGAAGATAGGCTGGACGAGGAGACTAGGAGGAGAGAGGAAGAGTAGGGAAGAGATTCAAGATGGAGACCTGAGAAGAGAAGAATGCTGGGGCCCTCTCTCTGGCCCTCTGAGACCACAAGGAAATACTTAGATTAACAGAAATAGGTGAATATTTAAGACAGAGACAACAGATAAGAAACTAGTAATACCTAATACAGTGTCTCTCTATTATTTGGGGCTGGCAAGGCAGTGGACCCAGGCCAGCAGGGAAAAACCTACTCATAACAGGCAACAAACCCTACAAATGTAGGAACTGTTTCATCCAGTGAAAATGTTCCTATCTCTGAACTTCTATGAAAGGTACTCAAATGCAGGATGATCTAAACAAATGCAAGAGACTGTGGTTCCCAGGATAGGGGGGCGGGGGGGGGGAGGAGAGGACCATAGAATCAAGAAGATCTAAGTATAGCTTGTATAGTGTAGAAGATCTTCAGGAGAAGAATGAATATCAAACATAATTCTGAAGCCACAGAAAGATATGTATCTCCCCTTGGGGGTAGGATCTCAACATAACATTGGAGGAACACAAACATTCAGACCACAGCACTAGGCAATAAAGAAATAACCTTTTCTTCTTTCCTTTCTTCCTTCCTTCTTTCCTTTCTTTTCCTTCCTTCCTATTCTTTCTTTCTTCCTTTTCCACCTTCCTTCCTTCCTTCTTTCCTTTCTTTCCTTCCTTCCTTTTTTTGCTTGACAGGGTTTCTCTGCATAGCCCTGGCTGCCCTAGAACTCACGCTATAGACCAGGCTAGCCTTGAACTCAGAGACTACCTGCCTCAATGCTGGATTAACAGTGTGTGCCGCCACCACCCAACTAGAAAGAACCATTTCCATTTTCGGTTGTGAGTCTAGCCTTTAACAGCTGAGCTATCCCTCCAGCCCTGAAAGAACCATTTCTATATACAGGTTGACTACTGAACATACTAGAAGACTATGCAATGCCCTGAAAATAGGATGAAAGTACAGGAAGACAGACAGGTATAATGAAAGTCAATTTAGTTGTATGACTAGACAAGCAATCCTGAGTTGCAGCTTCAGATTTTCATTAGGTAAAAAAATTGTATCAGAGGTAGTAAGAAAAGATAAAACTTAATACATCCTCTAAAAGTAACCAACATTCTGAACTCCATAACGACAGAATGACCCAAAAATTGTAAATACTAAGAAAAAAAATTTAAAGCAATGGTTCTCAACCTGTGACCCTCTAATATAGTTCCTCATGTTGTGGTGACCTGTTGTGAGATATTTGATTACACTGTGTAAAGGTATGTCATTGTGATTGGTTTAATAAAAAACTAAACAGCCAATAGCTAGGCAGAACTTCCCAACAGAGAGCTCTGTGAAGAAGAGGGAGTCCCCAAGCAGAAGAAAAGGAAATAGAGCATGCAGGAATAGAGGTAAAAGCCACAAGCCACCTGGCAGCACATTCGCTTAATAGAAATTTCAGTTATAAGAGCTAGACAGAAACAAGCCTAAGCTAATACTGAGCTTTCATAATTAATAAGAAGTCTCCATGTCATTACTTTAGAGATGGCTGATGGGACAGAGAAAGAATGACCCCCATGTCTAAAGTTGTGTTCATTGCTACTTCATAATTGTAATTTTGCTACTCTTTTTGCTTTTTTGAGACAGGGTTTCTCTGTATAACCCTAGGTGTACTAGAACTCACTCTGTATACTAGGCTAGCCACGAACTCACAGAGTGTTCTAGAATTAAAGGCATATACCATCATGACCAGCCAACAGTTAAGAATCTTATACTAAGTATTTTTGAAGATATAGGTTTGTAAAAGGGTAATGAACCATAGATTGAGGAGCACTGGTTTAAAGAGAAATCTGTTCCCTTTGCTTGTCTATCAACCATGCCCTCCTTTCGTTTACAACTTGCTTTATTATTTTTTTTAATTTTTCAAGACTTATTTATGTATATGAGTGCTCTATCTGCATGTACACCTACACACCAGAAGAGGGCCATAGATTGTTGTGAGCCACCTTGTGGCTGCTGGGAATTGAACTCAGGAAACTCTGAGCCATCTCTCCAGCTCCCCAACAACTTGCTTTTCCTTGGAGACATCTCTGTACCTGTAGGATACAATATTAACTCTAACCTTCCTATAAGATAGTGGTTTGAACTAGAATCGTCTCCATAGATTTATATATTTGAATACTTGGTTCTCAGTTGAACTGTTTGGGAAGCTTTAGGAGGTGTGTGTGGCCTTGTTGAAGGAGATGTATCTCTAGGGGTGGGTTTGAAGTTGAAAAAGCCCAGCCATTCCCAGTGAGGTATCTGTCTCCAACCTGGATCCAGAATGTAAGTAAGTTCTTAATTACTATCCCAGTGCC